AGTAGGACCCTTTGATATATGTACTTGTTCGGAAGTATTACGTTACAAGTGATAGGAATGATGATAGCTATCTGATTGAATGTCACGTCTTTGCTTAAACTTGTCTACGCAACCTAAATATTTCTGAGAAATCCCAATGCATATATTTAGAAGGTTAGTATACATAAGTGAAAAATGGATAAAAGCTTTTTTTGTCTTAATTGAATGAATCTGTGACGAAGCTAAACTGTATGGGATGGAATGATGAGTGAAATGTATGTAAATCCAACTTACAATTATGTTTTTTCAACTTCCTTTATTGATCACGATCAATTTATGTACTAAATTATGGAATCCTTTGTCGTCCTCAATTTTGAAAGTTTTGACTTGGTCGAACGAAACGATGAAAGCTATACGATGAAAGCATATGTAGCGAGTAATAATGCCAGAGGAGTCATGTACATGAAATAACCAAAGGCATTGTCAGACTTAACATGTTCCGTCAGATGACAATTTGTTTCTACTCATCTTCATTTAGCGTACACGACGAACGGATTTTCATGGAACGACGGACATCTTCCTTACGATAAAATGGAATCGCTTCTCGTTTAATTAACGGAAGGCTACAGTTATTAACAGCAGGCTCAAGCATTTAGGATCCAACAATTATTGCTCTTTTCAAGATGCCATCGCGTATTATAGATACCTTAAGAAATAGGTCGTGGATCATGCGAACAAGCCTGATCAACTATTAGCAGCGAACCGAGGGACTGATGATATGATGCTGCAACAGGTAAAGAATGATAATGGAGAAGGAAAAGATGAAGAAGAAGAACGTTGGAACACTGTCATCAATTATCACGAAGATGATTTTGTCAAGCACGGTATAAATTTCAACAAAGAACAGGGGAAATGTTTAGAAAAAATTATTTATCAGTAATCTGTTTCCAAAGACACTGGTAATTATAATTCTACTTATACTTAAAATTGTTGTCCTACCCACATAAGAATTACAACCTTAATTGACTCATTCACGCTAAACTGACTCTGCGGTTTACCACCCGCGGCTGCATCTTATAACGACACTGGACTTGCCACCCCCGTTTCTGTCGCTGCCGCTAGTGCGGACCTCACTCTCTTTTTTCCGCCTCCCCACACTTCCTTCCACCCTACTCTTTCTCTTCCTACCCGATCCTTATCAGAAGTCGAGTAAAAAGATCTTTCTAGATCTTGACACTCGAGAATAAAATACGATCTGTGTACAATATGTATGTTTTCCTTTAGAATTTATTTCACATTAACTTTTCCTTATGTCCATCTTAAGGTAAAAGAATAATTGAAATTAATAGAGAAAAATATGTTAGACAAAAACCTTTATTTTACTAACGTTTTTCATATATCGTTAAAAAAATTGAAATAATGCAGGTGTTCGAATCTGTTTTTGAGGGACTTTCTTTTATACTTTTCCATTTGTTTACCCAAATGAGCTAACCTGTTCTTCTAGACTTTGGAGAAAACTGGCGTAAACATACCTGGGGGCACTAAAATCTTTAAAATGCTAAGAACATCTAAAGGTCCTTATCCGGCCAAGGATACATCTAAACCTACTCTCTTTCATACCTACCCACACTCCTTTCACCCTACTCTTTTTCCCCCCACCCGATCTTTATCAGAAGTCAAGTAAAAAGATGTTTCTACATCTTGACACTCGAGAATAAAATACGATCTGTGTGTGTGTGTGTGGATACCTGTGTTATTAAAAGAATGGGAAATTAAACCAGCAACGTTGAATAAGAAAGTCGTCAATTACCATTCAAGGACAAAATAAAAATAAGCACAGACCACTGCTAAAGCAGAATGTTTTCCATTTCATGCATGAAATGGGCAAATGTTGTAATTAAAAAAAATAATTCTTGATATGTTATCAAACGGTACTGTCCCGTTGAAAACGACATGTATGAATCTTCCTTTTCATAAACAGAGATGAAAAGATTCAAATGTCTGTCGTTTTCTCAAAATCATTTCTTTAGTAACGATTTCCGTTGTCCTTATAGTAGATGTGGCTTTCAATGCATTATATTACTATATGTATGCTTCAATGCCTAAGTGGTGTTTGAAGTCAAAGTCAAGATTTATTAACCTTTGTGTTACCAGTTTGGCGTTGTTCGTAATTAGAATTTTAGTTTTCAGAGAATGTATAGTTGGCATCAACTTCCAGGACATGACGTTTTTGTTTGGCAACAATTTCCGGGTGGTGCGTGTTTCGTGCTGTGAGATGGCTGTGTTTTTATTTACAACTTAGCAGTTTAATTTAAGATTATCGGTAAGGTTATTTTACCGTGGTATGCAATAAAATTATAACGAATATATGTTCTATAATTAATTTTACACATAATTAAGTGCAGGATTTTTTTAAAATTTACTGCTAAGCTTGTATGTTCAGTTCATAATTTGAAGGCCTTAGAAATATCAAACAAATGTCGTAATGTGAGATCGTGTAAGTATGTAATCCAACATAACATTTCAAAAGATTGTATTTCAATTACCTGAAAATTTTATTGCAGATGGTATTCATTATGTTAAATATTCCAGCTAAAACTTTAGGGTTAAGAAAACGTGGTAGCGATGAGGCGTCTGACGAAGTTCACCGCTTCAGGAATTAATAATGTAGAGCAAGGTTCATTCTTTTTTATACTATAATAAAATTAACGAATTAATCAGAAAATCATATCTTTTAAGTGTTTACATATACGATTTGGAAAATGTAGCGATGTGGCCTGCAATGCGATGGAAATTAATAATGTAGAACGACGTACTCTTGTACCCTGCCGAAATAAAAAATAGGGAGTTAGGTTAATCATGTTCTATATATATATATATATATATAAGTATTATTTGTATTTCATACGCCGATCTCAATTTAGATTGCTTGCAAGGGAAGATGTTCATTTTAAGCTATTAGTGTGTTAAGTATCAAAACTAATATTTACTATTTTTTTTTAAAATTAATATACCTTTCTTTTTTACAGGTTTCAGTGCGGATAATGTACAGTTTTAATATACTTATTACAAGACAATGTTTATGAGTTCTTAAAAACTCTTCCACTGTTGTGTTATATTATAAAATAAAACTGAGTTACTTTGTTGATGAGATTTAAAGTACCTTCTGTTCTTTTGAGAATAAAAACTTAACATATGTTAATCAGATTGAATTTTTAAGAATTTTACAAGTTAGTGTAAATATATTACATTACTTATAGATTAATTTTTCATTAAATTACTAATAGATTTATAAATTTGTATAAATTTTTTATTTGTGATATAAGCCATATCTTCTTAAAGGTTTTAATGAATCATATGGAGATGTCTAAATTATTGAATCATTTAAATCATTTTGTAACAACATTCTATTTGATAATCATGTTTTAATGTTTTTTACTGTAAACCTTTTTAGAACAGAAGTGTAAAAATTTGTGAAATACCCTTTTCAGATTTTTCTGTTTGTTGAATATGCTTTAAATAATTAGTATAAAATCTTCCCAGCATTTCTCCACATTTTTTCTGTCTAATGCTAAATTTTTTATTTTGTGTTTGATTGAAATAGTGTTTTGTTAAACACATTTGCACAAACTTCGTTGCTCTGTACCATTGCTGCTTTCTTTGTTGCTGTTGTAATCAGTGTAAAATGGATGTTTCTTAGTATGTAGCTTAATAATTCTGTTCTGCTGTTATGTACAAATGATAAATTGATAGAGGAATATTTGTATAATAATTTCCCCAGTTGAGTTACATATTTTATTTTGCCCTTTGCTTCACTTTTTTTAAATCTTTGTGCAGTAGTTTCCGAAGGAATTATTCTAGATATTTGTTTTAAAAATTTGCATGATACTTATATTTTTTCGTTGATTGTAACATTTAGCAGAGATTCTGCCAGAACTGCATCATTGATCCTGGTAGAAGCTGAGGAAACAAAATGTTCTTTATTAATTACATCTTCAGATACAAATTTTGAGAATATCAGACAAAAATTATTCATAAAAAAACTAATGCCAATCATTTCAGTGGTAAAATGTCTCTAATGGAATTGAAAATAACAAAACCTGTCACCTTCCTATGAAGTTGACATTGTTTAAATTCACTTGAAATGTGTAAATCCAAGTGGTGTGATACTGTTTCTTGATGTCTTTTATTGTGCTATTTTGACAAACTCTACAGTCTTTTAACTAAATTAACATTTAATAAAGTGAAAAGTATTATACTTTTCACTTCACTAATGAAATTGGAAATAGTGTCACAATCAACCCTGCAATGCTTTTAAGAACTTTTTATTTTTCACAGTGCAGATGTTTGCACATCCTCTTAAAGGAATACCAACTTGAATATACAAATAATGCAAGGGTTCCCAACTCTGTGCCCATGGTCACTATGTCGCCCGCCAATCTTTTATCTTGTGCCTGTTGCTGTGTGATCACAATAAAAATGTTTTAGTTTTCAATAAATTTCTATGTGAAAGTTTTCTCATTTTTAATGAACTAGAAATTTCGTCCAATACAGATACCAGTACAAAGCGAAAAGCGATCAATCTCATTTTTTATGTTGTTGCTAATGCTCACTTGTGTGACCAATTGTCAGCCCAAGCCCACGAAATTTCTTGTGGCAAGGAGCGCAATTTTACACCTGCCATTGGCAACAGCCTTGAGCACCTTACAGGTGACAGTGCGATTTAGCCCAGTTCCGCAGCCAATTATGATGAAGAGCACCCAGGGGTGGGGTATGGGTCCAAGGGGCTGCTACCCCTCATCAACCTTTCGAGGGGACTTTCGATTTGCTGCATATTTAGAGTGCCCCCATGCTGCATGGACACTATACATATACAAATATCCATGCCTTCTCCGGGATTCGAACCCAGGCCATTTGGCACGTCAGTCAGCCATGCTAACCACTACACCAGTTTGATGGCCTTTCTTTCGTGTGCGTGTATTATTAACTCTATTCAATTATTAATTTACCTTGAAAAAGTAAATGGTGCCTGCCGTCCAACTGATATTCTAGAATGTGCTCTTAAGGTGCGTTCAGACATGGGCGTAATAGCGCATAGAGGCATAGTCATAAGGACATAAAATACGGGAGACCCGTTCACACCTGCGAGAACGAGGTGTAAGCCATGGCCAATGAGAGAAGCTAAATTTGCGCATGCGTGGAATGTCTACAACTTTCCCACGCTGTTCTCCCGCCCGTTGATTCCCCCATTCTTCCGCTATGCTCTGTTTTTTCGTTGTGTCATGGCCTTTTTCAGCTAGCCTCAAAGTTTTACTGGATCAACAGAATGATCTTTTATCTGCCCTTCTCATTAGCCAAGAGGCAACGGAAGAAGGTAAAAAAAGGAAAATAACGAAATAGTCTGGAGATATTTTTTTGAAAGACCAATACTTGGTTGGCACATATCTTTCTGTACAAAGCAGTATGGAATATTTCTGCATTGTACTGTAGTACTTACTCTCTATACTATAAACATGCATATGCATATTTATATACTATATCAAACCTTCTTCAATTTTTATATATAATTTCTCTTAGGAGAAATACAATATTCTAAATATCCCTAATTTAAAAAAAAAAAAAAAATCTTGAGGATAACTAACAGATAGCCTATATATAGTATTTTTCTATTTTGCAGGTGTGAAAGCAGTTAAGCTAAAAACAGTACTTACCATAAATTATTATTATTATTTTTTTTAAATGTTCAATCAAAAGGAACATGTTTCTGTGACAGTGAAACGTGTGCTTAGCACTCCCTATCACTGTCCCTGTCGATCACTATAGTAGTTTGCTGCACTACCAGTATCAATTATCACTAGTACTAGTATCCCACAACTGGTCACAATGACCAGCAAACACAACTAGTACAATACTAGGAAACGTTCACCCAACAATGTATTTTATGCTCAATCATTAAATACATTTTGCGGTCTTGCCAGCTGTTTGTATACATCTATTTTTAATAATTTGCATGTATAAGCTGTACCCCTGAATTTAATTTCAAGATATCTGTCATTTCTATTTACGACCAAATTTCAAAAGTAATTTCACATTGACAAATTTTTAGGTACCCAAGTCCTTCAATACATCAAAATTATAAACATTCATACCTTATCCAGGAATTTCTACCAAGAAATAGCATGAATTTAATGATTAAAACTCCATTCAAATGATAGTAATAAAGAGTGGATAATAATAACAAATACTATTCATTAAATTATAGTCCATGTTATGAATATGTGTGCTATTTAGTTTCATTAAAAGTAAATTCCTTTCATGGAGAACGTAATTAAAAAACAGAAAGACAAAACTGGACTTCAACAGGAGACAAACTGTCTACTGTTGACTGCTGTTTTAAGGATATTTCACTACATTTTTTCTTTCTTCGAATTCATAAAGAGCATTTTTCTCAAAGATTAATCTTTATTACTTATACAAGGCTTACACCATTGAAGGACTATTGTGACTATTCTTAAATAAGTGAAGATAATTTTTTTTTTTTTTTAAGTAATATTTTTACATTAAAATACAGCAGATTCTTGATATTGATTTGATGTTTTAGTAAAATTAATTCGTGAAGTTTGTTTGGAAAGAAAATCAGCGTTTGAAGCAAATAGCCAATACAATATTTCCAGCTTTTTTCAATAAATTTATTCTTAAATACAAAAATAATTAAACAGGAAAAAAATTACAGTAATAATTTAAAAAAAATTATAGACAGAAAGAAAGTAATAATAATATTTACACAGAAAAAATAAAATTTTGCAAGCATGCATTTTTTAAAGAATTTTCATAATAAAATGAAAAATAATTCGGAGGGGATCAATCATCTACAAGATCCATAACACAGCGTGCATAGATCCTGAGCTTAACTTTCAGCTTACACGAGTTTCATCCATTTTTCAAAATAAATTGAAAAACTCATTAAAAATACATTAAAAACTCATTAAAAAATGCATGTCATCATCGTAGATTTCTTGCGAGATCAACTCTTTATTTCGTTCGGATATGATTACAACTCATTATTTTGTTCGGATACGTTAACAGACTCATTCGAATGTGCTCCATATTAAAAAAAAAAAAAAAAAAAAAAAACGTCGCCTTCGATGTGACAGCGAAATCATCTTAAGAAAGCCACTTCGCTCTGATTGGTCGACGCTTATCCCAAACTCGGCGTAAAGTTGAAACCTTGGAACCTTGTGCCACAAGCCCTAAACCAGATTCTGTGATGTAGCAGTGACTGGTTGCCTTGGCAACGGAGCTCTGCTTTAACCACTTATGCCCTTTACGCCCTCGTCTGAACGGGGCCTTAGGGACAAAAAGGTTGGGGACTCTTGCTCTTAGGACACATTCTAGAATATCTCTTAGACGGCGGGCACCATTTGCTTTTTTAAAGTGAATTTACAGTTGGATAGAGTTAATAATACATGAACATAAAAAAAGAGATCGGTCGCATTT